ATCTTTTACTCAATAGCTACCCCCAGGAAATCCTCCCTGATCCTGAAACTGCATTTGTTCATTAGATGCTCCTGGCCTGTGTTCCCATTGTATCTAGATCCTAACCCAGTTATAATCTTATTACATTGTTATCATTAATGCTTTTTTAAAGTTTTACTATTCATCACTAGAGTGTAAGTTCTTTGTAGACTAGCAAGGCTCTCTTGTTAACAATTATAGCCCTAATGTCTACCATTTGTACAATCAGTACTTTGTAAGCACTCAGTAATTGTTTATTGAATGTAAAAATGAACAGTATATGTGAAAGGTGAAGCTAGATAGGTCTAATGATGCTTAGATCCTAGGAAAGGGCTTATGGTTCATGTTTCTGACAGGAGATTATTTAGGTAGTTTGTTTAACCATTTCACATGACCAGTGTGTTAATGTCTGAATTTAATTTACTCATTCTGTGTCGTCTTTAAGGCCAAACTTTTCAGTAAAACGAAACCAAACAAAAATACACCCCCAGCATTCTGTATTTCAGCTCCCCACCCCCACCAGATAACCTTTTTTAAAAATATTTTATATTTGTGGGTACACAGTAGGTATATATATTAAGGGTATATGAGATATTGTGATGCAGGCATACAATGTATAATAATCACATCAGGGTAAATGGGGTATCCATCGCCTCAAGCATTTACCATTTCTTTGTGTTACTGATATTCCCATTATACTCTTTTAGTTATTTGTAAATGTACAATAAATTGTTGGCTGTAGTCACCCTGTTGCACTATCAAATACTAGATCTTATTCAACATATCTAACTATACAAAATTATCTTAAGTTTGAATTATAGAGGCGTTTTCACAGTAGCAACCAGTAGGTACTGACACCATCACTGACAATAGCTATAGGTCACACTCTGTGTTTCTGGGTGACAGCAAACACAGTAGATACTCACGTCACCACCTAGTTTATCTTCAAATATGAAGGACTCCAGTGACCCTCACTTTTACTCCTTGCATCTTTGGTAGTAAAGATGAATCTTTGTCATCCCCAGGACCTCGTCTTTTTGTTTGTTTGGTATATGGAATGAAATGACTCAGGTGCCTTCTTTCAATTATTTAAGTTGTGTAGTAAGATCAACTGTAGAATACTATCAGGCATCTTGGAATAATATCTTTATCATCATGCAATTGATGCTTCTTCCAGTTTTGTTTCCTGTTGCTGTCACTCAATCTCTGTCATTAATTGTACTAAAATAAGAATTCTCTATTGTGTCCTGACATATTGTTTTGTTACAATTATTTGGAAGGTCTTGTTACTACTGCACATTAAACAACAATTCTAAGGTATGTGAATTGTTAAATTTTAAAAAGTGTAGTCATTCTTGCTTATTTCCATTCTGATCTTCATATAGGAGTTAAAGATGGAATTATAGCTAACCGCAGTGATGAGAAATTCGTGGTGAACAGTGCCACATACCCTTTCACTCTCTCCCTGCCCATTTAGACCTCCATAATTATTAATCGTTGTAGTGTGCTTTCTCAATGCACCCTACTGTCCAGTCTCAGCACAGCGAGTACTTCAGATCATCACTGCTTGTCAGGTTTAGTCCTCAAGATGCCAGGACTAGCTTTCCTTATATAGTTCCCACTTGTTCACTTTGCACAAAATACCTGTTTACATATCTATGCCCTAAGGTTTGTCCTCACATGGTTATTTCTGAGCTCATATTTTGGGTGCTATTTATCCCTCTTCCGTGCTGTTCTTTGTGGTGTCTACTAAACAAAACTTGTAATGATGTGGTAACAGTAAACATTTATGAGTGGTTCTCATGATGTAGCAGGTACTGCATTAAGTACCTGACATGTATTATTTCATTGAATTCTTTTACTAACACCAAGAGTTAGGGCCCATTGCTCTTCTCATTTTATAGACAGAGAAACTAGGGCAAGGCTAAATAATTGGTAAATGGCAGAGCCTGAGTTTGAATCAAGGCCACCTGACTTCTGAGCCCAAATTGTTAACCTCTGAGGTAGCCCTTAAAGAAGGTTGGGTTAAAACCAAACTGATTGATAGTGAACATACTGCTTTTGCCTATGTTGGCACTGGCTAGAATAAAAAGCTTTTCCTTTATGTTTTCCCAGATTCCAAACTAACTTGGCCTAACCTTTCAAGTCTCTAAGAAATTTATAGTTTTATATCTATTAAAAAAGTCTTCTGGTAGACTTCATAAATATGACTTAGGTTTTTATTAAACTCTTTTGCTCGTATCTTTCTATATCTCAGAAAACCTTTAATTTTTGAGACAGTAGCTATTTGTGTAGGCTGTCTTATACGTTCACAGATGGCATTATTTTATCAGTCCTCAAACCATCTGTAGCATCAACTTAGTCTATTCCAATTGGTGTCATCTTTCATTTATGCAGGAGTGAGTTATTAAAGTAAAATTTTATATTTGTATAACATTTTGGGTAAATGTTAGAGTAAAACATTGGTTTATTTTATCACAACAATCCTTTGCAAAGAAAATTTATTTTTTCCAGCTCATCTTGATTTACTTTGTATGTAGTCTTTGGAATGAAATTGAATCAAATAACTGTTTATTGAGCACAAATTATTATCTTGAAATGTAAGGATAAGAAATGACCCCTGTGTTCACTGAATTTGTAATCTTGTAGGAAAGACGGTGAAGTAGTAAATTCCCATTGAAGAAGACATACAATTATGATTACCATTATGAGAAGAGAAAAGATGGTAGTATGGGAAATGATAGTAAAGGGATTAAGTCTGGTCTAGTGAATCTAGAAAGGCCTTTCAGGGGAAGAGTGGCTAGGAGTTCACCAGACGAAGTGTAGCTGATGGGTGATAGGGAAGAGGAAAATAACATTGTAGGCAAAGTAAGCAGCAAATGAGAAAGCCTCCATGGCAGAGAGCTTGGAGTAACTAAGTCATTGAAAGATATGCAGTCTGACTGGAACTTAGAGTAGGAGGAAGAGAGTGACATGTGATCTCAGGGGAGACCTGAGAGCTAAACAGGTATCAGTTGTTTTTTAGGACAATTAAAGATTCTGGATTTGAACCTAAGATTAACGGCAAGTCACGGATGAGTTTAAAGTGGAGTTGTGGCATGAACAGATTTGGGCTTTAGGAAAACCACTAGGGCTGCCGTGTGGAGAATGAGTTGGAAAAAAGGGACAGAAGTAGGGGGGAAAGTCAGGAGGCTGTTTCAATATGATTTTTACTTAGGCTATAGTAGTGGCAGTAGAGGCGGAGGGTGGTGGATAGATTAGAGAGGCCACCCTGCTGAGATTGGAAGAGCCAACCCGTGTGTGTACAAAGCTCTGTCTTGCTTTCCTGCATTGTGCTATTGTACTAACAAATGGTCTTTCTGCATATAAGAGTATGAGCAGAGAAAAATGAACAAACATGAGGCCTGAAGTTAGTATAGAAGCTCTGTATTATGAAAAGGCATGATCTCACAGGTAGTTAAGGATAATAAAGACAAAAACACTCAACTAAATGGAAAGTCCTCAGTTTGATTGTAATCTAGCCAGGATCCTGATCTGAGATTTGCTCTTCATATTAGTGTGTATGATGTCAACAGGATTTTGAGAGACAGACATGTTTATTCAGTGGCCGATGCCTCCTTTCCCCCAAAACATCTTTCATCCACTTGCTTATTTATTCATTCATTCATTTACAAACACTTCAAATCCTTACTGAGGGCTTACTACTCACCAGACATGTTTACTTATCTTAGTTTTTAATACTACATATGGCCATTATTCCTAGTGTGGGCCTTTGATATTTATAGGTACTTCATGGACCACTTCTCATTGAGGATACATTTAGTCCATCAGTTTTCCGTTTTAAGTTGACTCATCACTTAAGGTGTAGCCATTGGTAAAATCCTGCAATCCTGATCTCCTGTGGCCCATATCCTCTGCACTTTCTATTGCTACTCCCCAGTCTTTGGTCAGGGTCAGTATGTTTAATTCCATTTCATTCAAACAGTTGGTCAGTTCAGCCATCACCACCACCACTAAGTCATCTTGTTGGTCATTGTTGAACTATTCTAGTAGCCAAGGTAATGCAAGCTATCAGCAAACAAGTTTTCCATGTAAGTGGCTTAAATACATTAGAAGTTTATTTCTTGCTAATGTAAGTTCAATTGGTAACAGATACGGGAATGTTGGATTTTCTGCTCCACTTGTGGACTCAGGCTGATGGAGTCACCACGGGGCTCACAAGCTTGCCTAGCTGGCAAAGGGAGTTAGGTGAATGTGAAAGCTTATTCAGGAAGTTTTTATGGGCCAGGGCTAGAGGTGGCTTACATCATTCCCACCCATGCTTCAGAACTCAGGTACATGGCCATACTTAACTACAGGGGAGACTGGGAAATGTAGTCTGTGTGTTTTCTTGGTAAGCCTGTCTTTGTCAAACCCAGCTAGTGAATGTCCTTGTACAATACCTGCTGTTTGATTCAGATATAATAAGAGGCATGGAAGGACCAGATCTATTGTTGTAGGACTTTTTCCTTAGTTCAGCTAAAGACAGTGGGGTTGGGGGAGGGTGGTCCTCATCACACAGCCATGTAAAATTAGGCTCACAGACAATTCGAAGGAGGAGAAAAATGGAATTTATTGGGCAAAGAGGAATATAAAGGGAAACAGGGACTCTCCACCAAGTCAGAACAAGAATCTTGCTAGTATGCTTCCCGCCTCACAGACTGTAATCCCAGGTTCCACCCAGGAGGAGGAGGGGCCAGGCTCCTCCCTGCTGCCAAAAGCATGAACTTCTGTGTCTCCACCCCAGGGTACCCTCCTCCCAGTGCATATGCCCATTGGAGTTTTTTCAGGGTGCCCTTCCCACCTGACTGTCTCAATATGAAGGAGGAATTTCCTTTGTGCCTAATAAGTGGCTGTGTCACAGTCCTGGACATTAGAGTGGGAAATGTCTACATTCTGAACTCCTAACATATCTGATCATTGCTATTACTCTTTTCTCACAGGGAAATAAATGCCCGGCTTGATGCTGTATCTGAAGTTCTCCATTCAGAATCTAGTGTGTTTGGTCAGATAGAAAATCATCTACGTAAATTGCCCGACATAGAGAGAGGACTCTGTAGCATTTATCACAAAAAAGTAAGTGTGACAGAAATCTAATAAAACTGACAGTGTTCTTCAGCTCACAAATTAGAACTTTTAAAGAAAAGTTTTATTAAAAGAAAACTTAAAAGAAAACTTCTGAGAGCTCTATTATTATTTTATTTTGTAAAATCTTACAAATACAGCATGCGAGAGTAGCTGAATCCTCAGAAATTTTAATAGCACAAATTAGAATTATTCCAATTTAACCATTGTAAAAAATAGTTTTCTCATGTACATTAACTACAGCCACATAGAGGCCCTTCTCTTATAATACAGGATATTCTCCTGTTTCATCCTGAAAGTATAGACTATTATCAAAATAGGAAATTTATGTAGACTAGTTATTTTAGAAAAAAGATACCTTATTTCTTTTGATCTTAGAACAACTTATTATTTCTTAAACTAAGGAAAAATCTGCTAGTATAACATCTGTGGTGGTAATTAGTATGAAAACAAGCTTGGATATTGAAGGTGAGTAAAGGATTATTTTGATTTTTATCACTTAAGCTTTATAGTTTGAGTCATAGCAAAAATGAGTCATTTTCCACTTTTAGGGAAATAATTTAGGTTATCTTCAAAATATGCCTAAAATTTTAAAAAATTATTAATACTTTTAAATGGTAAAAAACACGATAAACTCTTTATGGGGTTTTACTTTTTGCAGAAGTCATTCACACACTTTATACTCTTTGTTCCTTGTCAAAACTTTATGACATTGAGAAGTTACTATTTTTATTATGTTCTTACTAATAAGAAATTGTATCTAATGCTATGTATGTATGTGTGTGTATATATGTATATGTGTGTGTGTGTGTGTATATATATATATAAATTGCTGCAACCACTTGAATTACATTGGCTCATATGATGATGCTGAGAGGTTTAATAACTTGCTAGTAACAGAATCTGTATTTAGACCCAGGATTCTTGATTGTGTTTTCATTGGCTGTGTCTTTTGGACACTATCATTTTTGATGTAGTTATCTTGACTGCCATTTTTTTTTTTTTCTGTTTGCCACTTTTCATAAGCAAATTTTATTTTTCCTCCAAACGTAACTCCTTGCCAATATAATAATTTTACTGTAAAACAGTTTTTATATGCCTAAATTTTTACTTTATTTTTGAGACAGAGTTTTATTCTCGTCACCCAGGCTGGAGTGCAATGGGGTGATCTCGGCTCACTGCAACCTCCACCTCCCAGGTTTAGGCGATTCTTCTGTCTCAGCCTCCTGAGTAGCTGGGATTAAGGCACCCGCCACTATGCCCTGCTGGCTTTTGTATTTTTAGCAGAGATGGGGTTTCACCACATTGGCCAGGCTGGTCTCGAACTCCTGACCTCAGGTGATCCATCCGCCTTGGCCTCCCAAAGTGCTGGGATTACAGGCATGAGCCACCGCACGCAGCCTATATGCCTAAATTTTAGTTGTGACCAAGTTTTCATTAGAGTTTCTATATTTTTCAGCCCCTTTTACCCCCACAGAATTTTACTAGAATAAGTACTGCTTCTAAGAATACTTGAGGTGCCCAAGAGGACTTATGTAACTGTTTTACATGCTTCAGCTAAATTTGAAAACAATGCACAAGCCAGAATTGGAAATACTGATCCTGGGGTGAAAGAATGTAGGAGTTGGTTATGGGGTCAAGGGAGCCTATTGTATCATTATTGGGTACACCATGTTGTTGTTTTGCTGGCAATAGCAGAAGCTGTGCTGATAGTTGCAAGTTTTATGGTAGATCTTTTTGAAGTTGCATAGTGGTTGCCAAACCATTTGTTGTTTTGTATCCTTGGCTCAGAGTCTGAAACTTGGTGCATATTAACCTTCTTTAAACAACGGCTCTCCGGGCACCTTGCCTTAACTACTTGAAAGGATTCACTGACAGATGTCAGAGATTTTTGTTTTTCTTAAGAGAAAACAGAAGCAAAGCTGAAAATCTTTCAATGACTACTCAAATGCACTAAGTCAAAGTGTCCGTGGCATCAAGATGGCAGCATCAGTTCATGGGGCTGTGATTTCTTTTCCACCTTCCTGCCTTTTTGTAAACTTTACTTTGATGTTTGTATTGCACAGGGTTTGTGTATTTATAAAAGTTTCAAAACTCTAGTAAAGTCAGAATCTAATTCATTTAAAAAGTGGCCACTATGCAGTGCAAGAATGACTTATTTTGGAATTTAAAAATATATTTTACTAAAGGAACTTATAACTCACTTGGAAACCATTCCTTGTTGCTGTTTTAGTGTTTGTTTGCACAAGAATGTGCCTAAAGATTAGTTTGAAGGGTGAAGAGTAGAAATGATCTGGTAACAAACCAACTTCAGGAAAGCTGAATGCTTTAAACTAATGTTTTATAGATTAGTTGGCTGGCTCTACGAACACACCATCAAACATATGTCTATTCTTTATTATTAGATTACTCTACATAAGCTTCTATGTACACCACATAGTGAGTGATGTCCTGGGTACAGATTGTGCCAATTATGTGAAATTCATAAAACGAGAAGGAACACTGGATATTGTGGGAAGTGGTCAACACAAGCTGTACGGTTTTGTGGAAAGTGTCCTGGAATACGTACCAATAGGTGTTTTTATGTCAATAATGATAGAGGATCTCAAGTGAGCTGATTCTGGCATAAAATAAACATTTTTTCTTCTTCTTCTTTTTTTTTTTTTGAAACAAGATCTCACTGTGCAACCCAGACTAGAATGCAGTGGCATGACCACAGCTCACTACAGCTTCAGCCTCCAGCCTTCTGAGTAGCTGGGACAGCAGGCATGTGCCGCCATGCCCAGCTAATTTTTTTTTGTATTTTTTGTAGAGACAAGATCTTGTCGTGTTACCCAGGCTGGTCTCCAACTCCTGGATTCAAGGATCCTCCCACCTCAGCCTCCCAGTGTGCTGGGATTACAGGCGTGAGCCACTGCTCCTAGCCTAAAATAAACATTTCTTTTGATGACAAAACATTAAATTCAAATCTTGTAAATAGTGCTAGTCACAGGAACCCATACTAACTTTGCTCAAGAACTGTTTTGTAAGAAAGTGTTAAGTAACTGCCGAGGTTGGTGAATACATTTAAAGGATAATCGCACTTAGCAAATGTTGAGGAGAGTGTTTTCAGAATTTTCTAGGTGAGAATCGTTTTTTAGCCAGGCAGGAATAAGCCCAAAGCCCTGTTTTCAGTGTTACGCTTAAGCTGGGGTCCTTTCCATCCTGTGTCCAGTGAGGCCCTGCCTCCGTACTTGTGGGTCTGTGCTCAAGCTCTCCCAGTGAGACAGCTGCTGCCAGAAGTAGGGCTGAATTCCTGGAGAGTGACTCCAGGAGCAGCCACTTACCCATCCTCAGCTTTCTTGCAGCTTCTTTTGAGTTCTTTTGCTTAAGAAACTTGAGAACAACCTGCTGCCTCTGGCTTTCAAGGTGATTGTAAAACACTGCTGGTTTTCACCTTGCTTCTGTTGCTGACTTAACTTTACATTGTGTCTCAGCTTGGAAAATTAATCCTTTTTTTGGGATTACAATAATTACAAGAGGTTAATATTCAAAATTATATTGAAAATGTTTATGTTTAGTTCTTTACTTTTGTTAAAAGGTATCATTAATTGACTAGTGGCCAAAAAGCTTCTAGGTTTCACATTTATGTAAACAGTCCAGCTTCCTGTATGGGGTGGGGAGGGGGTCCTTCTGGAGAAAAGTTGCCTCATGATACACTTAGAATTCAACATTTGCTCAGTTGGACCTAACTTCTTACTTTTTTTGCATAATTTACTTCACCCTTTGTGGTTAATTACGTTTTTTAATGTGTTCTTAGCCTTAATCTATTTCATATATACTACTTATTATGTGCCTTATTACCTTAAGCCTTAAATTGTTTTCTCAAGACAGTTCTTTTCAGTCAACATTCTGTCAGTTTTATTTTCCTGAGCTGTCTTCTAGAGCCTTCTGACTTGATCCAGTATGGACTGGTTGTCCTCATATCTGTTGTATAGTACTATCTTAAATTCCCTTTACTTCCCTTGAGTTGAATCTTTTATTTTCTATATTCCATGTCTTCCTCTTGGTTTATTTCTTCATTTTGGTGGAGTATATCCTCTAGAATCTTCCTAAGAAAGAATGTTAGAAGTAAATCTTTTGAAACATTCATGTCTGAAAGTGGTTTTTTTTTTTTTTTTTTTTTTAATTGTCTTTGTTACTACCTTCACATTTGATTGGTAGTTTGAATGGGTATAAAATTCTAGGTTTTAGATGACTTTACTATCTTTACTACCACTTCTGTTGAATTTTTCATTTCTACTATTATACTTTAATTTCCAAGAATTTTTGTTTTCTTGTTCTCCAAACGTTTTTTCTTTTTAAAAGTAGCATCTTGTTTCATGGTTGTAGTATCTTCTATTTCATGGAAGATATTATTAATATTTTTAGAAGTTCCCTCGCAGGGCAGAATCCAAATTGGTACACAAGTCTTTTTGGATTCTTGATGTAAATTGTGTCTGTTTTCCTTAAGGACAGTTTAAAATTCAAGTACCTTGAGTCTTTTAAGTCAATCGCTATTTATCCGTTTACTTTATAGCTTCTAACATATTGTTGCTGTTGTCCTCTTTTCTAGTGTGGTTTTTTCCTTTTTTTTTTTTGAGACGGAGTCTTGCTCTGTTGCCCAGGCAGGAGTGCAGTGGTTCGATCTCGGCTCACTGCAACCTCCGCTTCCTGGGTTCAAGCGATTCTTCTGCCTCAGCCACCTGAGTCACTGGGATCACAGGCGAGCACCACCACACCCGACTAATTTTTGTATTTTTAGTAGAAATGGGGTTTCACCATGTTGGTCAATCTGGTCTCGAGCTCCTGACCTTGTAATCCACCCACTTCATCCTCCCAAAGTGCTGGGATTACAGGCGTGAGCCACTGTGCCTGGCTGGTTTTATGCCTTTTTAAACAATCTCTTAACTGTTGTTTGAAGATGGAAATTAGATGCACATGTGTTTAACCCACTCTGTTTACCAGAAGCTATGATGTAAAAATTATTCATGTTCATGTTAAAAAAAACTACAGTAGTATGCAAGGGTATACAATAAAGGGGAAAAAGTCTCCCTCTGCCACCCCTCCATACCTACTACCCAGAGGGTAACCAGAGTAAGTCACATGTGCTACCTCCTAAAATTTTTATTGATATTTAGATTTTTCTATTTATATAGAAAAATGTATATCATTTAAAGAATCACAAAGAAAGTATTACCATGTAAATACATAAAAATATATACATATATGGGCTATGTGGTATATGATATAAACATACTATATATATTCAATGTATGTTGAAATTATGGAGTTCTATACTGATACAAACATCTTAAATTTTTTTAGCTGTTTCATAGTATTACATTGCATGAGGTTTTCCTAATAAGATCCCAATTGATGGATATTTATTTCTTATTTATCTTTTTAAATTATAAGCAATGCTACTATGAATATTCAGACACATGTTTTTCACTATTTGTTAGTTTATTTTAGATAAATTATTTAAAGTGATGTTTATTCAAAGGGTTATATGCACTTTTTTGTTATGAAGACATGCCAAGTTGTTTTTCAAAAAGGTTAGTCCTCTGCTAATAGTATATAAAAGTGTCTTTTTCTTTTTTTAAAATCCTGTTAACATGGTTATTGTGGAGCTTTTAAATATTTGACATTCTGATAAGTGAAAAATGCTATCCTGTATTTCTAATTTGCTTGTCTTTAGTTGTATATGAAGATAATTGTGTACATACTGACTGTTTCTATGAGCTGCATATTCAGTTTGTTAGGCCATTGTTCTTTGGATTATTCATCTTTTTCATGTCAATTTGTAAGAGCCTATTATGTTTGGGAGAATTTTGTCTTGTGTTTGTTATGTCTTACAGATATTATCCTTCACATTTTTTAGCTTGTTTAACCTATTTTTGCTATTTGGTTTATGCTATTTTAAAATGAAAAAGTACTGAACAAGTATTGGCTTTGTTTTCCTTGGCTAAAATTATTTTCTTTATGCCTTTAAAATATTACATAGTATTTAACCTCATTTAGAAAATATCAGTGATATTTTATTTCAACTAACTAGCTAATAGAAAATTTAAACTTTCCTCAATTCTGATTCTAACTTTAAAAGATCACTAATTAAACTTCATTTTCATGTATCTTATGCTATTTTGTAAAAAAATTTCTATTTTCAGTGTTCTACCCAAGAGTTCTTCTTGATTGTCAAAACTTTATATCACCTAAAGTCAGAATTTCAAGCAATAATACCTGCTGTTAATTCCCACGTTCAGTCAGACTTGCTCCGCACCGTTATTTTAGAAATTCCTGAACTCCTCAGTCCAGTGGAGCATTACTTAAAGATACTCAATGAACAAGCTGCCAAGTAAGTACCAGACCCTGAATTCTTCTTTTTCAGCAGTCAGTATACTCCAGTGCATTTGCCATTTGATTTGTGGATTCTTAATCTTTACTAGAAGTTGAATGAGTACATATATAATTAGAAATGTGATTGGACCCTAAAAGTGTTACATTACAGTTGGAATACTTGCTATCTAAAATTTAGGCAGTTTACCATCTAGGACAGATATAGTACTCCCCCAGGGATCAGATGATGGAAAGGTAAAACACAGGCAAAGCCAAGCAGTAGTAGATTATTAACCCCAAAATGAATGTCAGATATCTTGTACTCATTTCATGTATTTCCAGAGATGTCCTTATATTTAGAATCTGTAAAAGCAAAGTTATCCTTTAAAAGGTAGTTCTTTTATAACGTATTGCACAAAACGTTCTATATAAATGAAATAGGATTTGACATTTACATTTGTCTTTGTTTTCTGCATAGGCAAACAACAAATAATGTATCTCTTGGTTTTACCATGGGAATCATGAACTTAAAAAGTGAAAATGATATTAGGGTAATTTTGACCATCCTCAGAGAAGTTAAAAAACAAGCCCATAAGTGCTTAGTGACAATTGGAACCTCATTTCCCTGACTTCCAGTGCTTTCCTCTTTCATCACACTATGAAAAATAAACGATAACTGCTCTAATCAATAAACTTCGAATATGTATTTGCATTTTTTGATTTTTTAGAGTTGGGGATAAAACTGAATTATTTAAAGACCTTTCTGACTTCCCTTTAATAAAAAAGAGGAAGGATGAAATTCAAGGTGTTAGTGACAAGATCCGAATGCATTTGCAAGAAATACGAAAAATACTAAAAAATCCTTCTGCACAATATGTGACAGTATCAGGACAGGAGGTAATGTCAAACCTACTTTTATTTTCTATTAGTTTTCCTCTAGTAGAAAAGCTATTTTAAAATGTAAATAAAAATCTGAGGATAGGATATGTATTATCTCTTCAGATTTTCTGTTTTATTCCTTAGAAATATGTTGTAATAACTTGTTTTGATAAGAATTATTTTAATGATGGTGTTTTATTAGTCTCTTGTGAAAGTAATGCAACTTAATGTTATATGTGTATTAGCGTTATCTGTTAAAATTATATTATAGAAAATCTCGATTATTATGAATAGCAACTTATAGAATTCATTTGTTCTAAATCCAGGAAAGAGAAGTTAGTCTTTGATCCCTGCCTTACAGATGATGAAATAATACAAAGTTGGCCACCTGTGTTGATTGGCTCATATAGTGATTAAATGGCGGGGCTTCCTCCTAAAATTAAGAGTATAGCTGCTAAAAAAACAAATCTAGAGTGAAAAACTACACTTAGTGAGTCTTCCATAAAATTATGGTATTGTTTAGAATGTGTTTCTTGGGGTGTGTACTTCTGTTTAAAGTTTGATAGTAGTGTCTGAATGAGAACCAGAAAAGGAAGAAGTATGCCTTTTAAATATGGTTGTACTTTTCAGTCCTATTCTGAGTCTTGAGGCATGCTACTCCTATATCTTATGTTTAATAAAATATGAAGATTCAAACAGAGGGAGTTTGAGAAATTCTGTTTTATTAAAATACCAAATTAGGAAACTTATGGATAACTTCTATAGAGTGAGCATTTTATTCAGGATTTTAAAAAATAGATATTTTTCTGGTGGGGAAGAACTTAATTTCAAATCAAAATTTTAACATTTACATTGCTTTGTGTGTTTTGCCAAAAGATTGTTGATTGTATAGTTATTTGAAATAAGAAGCTCTACATTAATAGAGAGTATTCATTAAAATGTTTGTCTTGTGTTATTTCATAGATTTACCCATTAAGTCAACCTGTCTTCTGAACTACAATTATTAAGATATTATACTCAGCAGACATTCACAATGCCACATAGAGCTCTATATAATAGAAAAATGATTTGACAATATTTATACTTAAGTTTATTGTCTGAACAGACAAATACCAAATATTTAATTGTAATTCTTATTTTTACTATGCAGTCATGACCTTGCAAAGTGAAAATTGGCCTAAAGGCCACCATTCTGGCTATTGGTTTAAAATCAAATGATGAATATTGCTTTAGTTATTTTAATAAAAGATATGTAGTAGAAAAGTGGCTGCCTGGTATTACAGTGGAGAAAGCTAAGTGTAAGTGCCAGTTCTACCATTTACATGCTATATGACCATGGAAGAGTTAGCTCTGTTATAAGACTATTATGGAGACCAATTAAGTTAAAATACATGAAAGTGCTTTTTAATCATAAAGTGCTATGCTTATACTACTCATATAATAACAATAATAGTAATAGAGTTACCATTTATCAAGTACTTGTTAAAGTCTAGAACAGTGGTAGGTGCCTACATATATTATTTAATTCTTGTAACAACGCCAAAAAGGGTCAGTCATTCTAGTTTTGTTGGAAAGAAAACAGGTTTGGAGTAGTTAGATAAGTTACCCAAGGTCAGAAGCACAAATCCAGCCCAATTCTGCCAGACTCTTGTCTTTCTATTATGTTAATACCAGTATTTCATTCCATTTATTAATTCCAAATATTAACACAAAGAATTCTCAACACCATGGATTTTATCTGACAAAATCTGGACATTTTAGAGCTCATAGTATTCAAAATAAAATTTAAGTATTGGAAAGACGATCCTGGATTCATTTGGTAGTTTTTGAGTAAAAATGAAAGAAAATTATCAGGAATTCATAAGAGATAGTAGACTGGTTATTCATTGTGAGTGTGGCATTGAGGTTTAAGAAAAAGTACAGCATGGAGATCAACTAATTGTATTAAAAAATATTAGAAAGGAAGATCAGTTATCTTTTATCTTTACTAGGTTAAGTTGATGAATTTGAGGAACAAAGTTTCTTCATTATTAATAGTAGGATGGATTATTGTTGGTTTTTAATAATCTTCTCTAGGATTTTAGTAGAACGTTAACACAAAATTACTTTCATAAAACCTTTTGAAAATTAATGATTCCATTCATTGGAACACCAAAGGAATTCTAAATATTCAAACTTGTTTTCATCAAATTCTGTTTTAAAAAAGACTATAGTGGCTCACACCTATAATCCCAACACTTTGGGAGGCCAAGGCAGAAGGATTGCTTGAGCTCTGGAGTTCGAGACTTGCTTGGGCAACATAGTGAGAAACCATCTCTAAATATAAAAATAAAATTAGCCAGGCATAGTGGAATGTGTGTATAGTTGCTGCTACTCGGGAGACTAAGGTAGAGAATCGCTTGAGCCTGACAGGCTGAAGTTGCTGTGACCCGTGATCATGCCACTATACTCCACCCTGGGCAACAGAGTGAAACCCTGTCAAAAAAAAAAAAAAAAAGACTAACGGTATTCTCAAATTATTTAAAGGTACTTAAAAGACTAGGAAGAGACTCCATCAAATATGATTATCTCTGAGAAGTGAGGGAGGCACGGTGGAAAACCGTTATTTTACATTTATTGGTGCTTCTTTATACATTTCTGTTCTGACGTTTTATTTCTATACATACAGCTTTTGTAATAACCTTAAAAGACCCATTATAGCAGCCCCATGTGATCCGTGTGATGGTATGTGGATCTTGTTATTTTTACCAAAATTAGATAAATGTGCCGGTCTGTTAATCCAGTGTTATTTTGACAACATTCATTTTTCACTTCTGTTCCCAGCTTTTATATACTCATTAGAAAACTAAAACTTTATTGTATGATGCCTTATTGTCTCTGACTATGTATTCGCTTAGAAGAAATTAATGAAAGCAGAAACTTTATATTTTTATGTAATAATATACATACATTATTATGTATTATGTAATGTATGTATGTATCTATGAAAGTATGTATGTATGTAATGAAAGCAGAAGTTTACATAGTTTACTGCTTCTGTTACAGTCTCTATCATATTTTATGAATATAGACCAATTATCTCTTAACCTTGAATCAAATGTGGAATGGAAAAGGGGCAATATTTACATTGGGGGCAGTACTGATAAGTATTATTATTACTAAGGGAAAAAAAAATATTGGAAAAAAATCTTTAGAAAGAGTTTTATTAATTGACAGCATGCAGCATATCCAAATATCTGTTTACTATGTTTAAAATGTGGAAAATAATCTGTTAAATCTGAGTACTTTTTACGTAGATTTAAAATATAGTAAAAAATGCTTAAATTATTAAGAGAATGAAAAGTGGGGAGTGGAGGAATGGGTTAAGTGTGGTGCTGGAGAAAACAGCAGTTTCTGGAGTGAGTAAGAATTTCGGCAAACCTAGTGATGTTGCCAGCCCGGTAATACCACAGGCTATATAGATTGAGTAACAATATCTGACATTTAACTAAGACAGAATTGGGTCCCAGGAGAAGAATATGAGAGATTGCTATAATGAATCAAGGCAGACTACTCACATCAACACCTAAGAAACAAAGTCAGGAACTGTAAAGCAGGAAAAGTTGCTATGAGAGCTTTCTAAGATTACTGGAATGTATGCTATTTTTTCTATGTTAGTTTTCTTTTCTTTAGTAACAAAATTCTTAAACCAAAGGCCTACCTGTTCATTCTTAGAATGTTAAAAAAAAGAATAGCTAGAGAAAAAAATTTGTATCTCATCATCGCTGTAGAAGAGAAGAAAAGCTAGCAGATGACCACTCTGAGGAGGAACCCAGGCTGAATTTCCGAGGACTGCTGAGTGAGGAAAAGGGACACTCAGGATCAGTCCAAGGACCAGCCCCTGTCTGAGGACGTGACCAGAGGGGTTTAACTTGTGCCTTCCTGACTCCTGCTGTTTTCCCGACTGCATTGGCACTGTATTGGCTCTGTATATGGTGGCCCGCTGTAGCGATTGTGGTCCTAGAGTAGCACTTTTGATACTTACAGATTGAATAGTTGTGGTCCAAACTGTTCCCAAGGTGCTCCTTGTTCAAAATGTCCGTCATCCCTTAGTTAGTAACTCCTGTGGAGCTCTGTTAGTCATTATGCATCTGGATGTGTCCTTCCCAAATATCAGTGATCCAATCAGTCTGTTCCTGAATTTTGCTGTTTGCCTTTAGCAGAGCTCTTTCCAGAATTATTTTATAAAAAGGCCAACATCTCTTTTGGTAGAACACTTTAAAATAGCAGAATTATTTAGCACAGTTTAAAAGTGGTTTTATCTTTCCCATTAATGATATTTTTTTGTGGTTTTTCAAAAGTTACTTTTTGTAGCCAAACGAGGCTTTTTAGACTCTTGACTCTTAACTATTTAAATGGGTGTAACAGATTTGAAACTGTATTAATTCTCTGTACATGAGGGCATCACTAGTTCAAAACATTTTTCTAAGGGAAATTAGCCACTAATTCTTAATATAATTAATGTAAAAACTACAGTATTTCTATTAATGGTAAAAATAAACTCAAGAACCATGTTGATACTGTTATTAATATGAACATTATAAATACCTGAAGTTATGTGCATATAATAAAACTGATAAATATGAAAAAGTTCTCATAGCTCTCTCAAAATTACAACCACACAGCTTCTAGGGTTCCATTCCACTCAAAATGGGTTTTTAGAAATTAAATGAATCATTGAATTTTTTTTTGTTTTTGTTTTTTATTGAGACAGAGTCTTGCTCTGTCGTCCAGGCTGGAGCGCAGTGGCGCGATCTCGGCTCACTGCAACCTCCACCTCCTGAGCTCAAGTGATTCTCTTGCCTCAGCTTCCTGAGTAGCTGAGATTACACGTGCCTGCCACCAGGCCTGGCTAACTTTTGTATTTTTAGTAGAGATGGGGTTTCACCACGTTGGCCAGACTGGTGTTGAACTCCTGACTTCAGGTAATCCCTCCACCTCAGCCTCCCAAAGTGCTGGGATTACAGGTGTGAGCCGTCGCGTCCAGCCTGAATTTGATTGTAATAATACAGGAATGCAGGCACACTGAGAAGAGGTAATATATAACTAAGGCTAAAAATGAATGGTTTGATAGAACTTCACCTGCTTCCTGGCTGATGAGAACCTTATTTGCAGAGCACAGTTGGATCTACAAAGATATTATGAATGTAAATTAAAATGATAATGAGATATTATCTCACCCCAGTCAAGTGACTTTTATCCAAAAGACAGGCAATAGCAAATGTTGATGAGGATGTGGAGAAAAGGGAACTCTCGTACACTGTTGGTTGGAATGTAAATTATAGTACCACCATCACTATGGAGAACAGTTTGGAGGTCCCTCAAAAAAAAAAAAAAAAAAAAATAGAGCTACCATATGATCCAGCAATCCCACTGCTAGATATATACCCAACAGAAAGGAAATTAGTATATTAAAGAGATATCTGCACTGCCGTGTTTATTGCAGCACTATTCACAATAGCTAAGATTTGGAAACAAACTAAGTGTCCATCAACAGACGAATGAGTAAAGAAACTGTAGTATGTATTCACAGTGGAGTACTATTGAGCCATAAAAAAGAATGAGATCCTGTCATTTGCAACAACATGGGTGGATTATGGAGGTCATTAGGTTAAGGGAAATATGCTGGGTGCAAAAAGACAAACTTGGCATGTTCTCACTTAACTTGTGGGAGCTAAACATTAAAACAATTGAACTCATGGAGATACAGAATAGAATGATGGTTACCAGAAACTGGTAGTGGTAGTGGGGGTGGGGAGGATGAGGGGATGGTTAATGGATAAAAAAGAAACAGGAAGAATGAATAAAACCTAGTATTGGTAACAACACGGTAATTATAATCAATAATTTAATTTTACGTTTTAAAATAACTAAAAGAGTATAATTGGATTATTTGTAGCACAAAAGATAAATGCTTGAGGTGATGGATACCCCATTTACCCTGATGTGATTATTATGCATTGCATGCCTGTATCAAACTATCTAATGCAACCAATGAATATATACAACTCCCATGTACCCACCAAAATAAGAAAAAGATATTATGGTTCATATAAGTGAAAACTTAAAGAAAACTCTCATATGGAAAGAAATACTTTCTTCTCTTTATAGTTAGGGAAGTCTGCTTTCCTGTGAAGATACTTCTAGAGGATTTCGGTTCCTTGGGTAAAAACTATCTAAAAATCTTCTCTGTTCAGAGTAGGGGAGGATCATATCTCAGACCAGTGTAACATCTACTAATTGAATATTTTAAAATCTTACATGCTTAGAAATTCAATCTTTTATGAGTAATAGAATTCTTAAGTGAGTATTAATAAATGAAAGAGATGGTTAATGAAAAAGCCATCATTCAGAGTATATGTATAACAATATTAGAAACCTGAAAGCCCAAGTATTACAAATGTTTTACGTAACACAAATTGTACTTTGTCCCAAGTATTGAACCCTTAATTAATAATATTTATCTGTATTGACATATATACAGTATGAAAAACAATTCTGAACTTATTTTGAGTGTTTAACAATATATAATAAATTGTTATACCACAATTTGGGGAAAGCTTTAAAATATATAATGGTTGCTCATCTAAATATCTGTTTATTTGTATTTGTTTTAGTTTATGATCGAAATAAAGAACTCTGCTGTATCTTGTATACCAACTGATTGGGTAAAGGTTGGAAGGTAGGTTTAAAATACATTTTTTTCTTATAATGAATTATAATGACATCTGTATATCTATGTGCTACTGGGCTCATAGTAGCCACGTTCCTGAAATTAAAAGCAGTTCTTTTTATTTTTATTTTTTCTTATGGAACTTTTTTTTTTTTTTTGCGGGGGGAGATATAGTCTTGCTCTGTTGCCCAGGCTGTAGTGTAGTGGTATGATCTCAGCGCATTGCAACCTCCACCTCTCTGATTCAAGGGATTCTTGTGCCTCAGCCTCCCGAGTAGCTGGGACCACAGGCGTGCACTACCACCCCCGGCTAATTTTTGTATTTTTAGTAGAGACGGGGTTTCACCCTGTTGGCCAGACTGGTCTCAAACTCCTGACCTCAGGTGATTCATCCATCTCAGCCTCCCAAAGTGCTGAGATTACAGGCGTGAGCCACTGTGCCCTGCCCTGTCTTAGGGAACTTTTAACCAAGGAGATCACTATTTTTAACTCTTTATCATTGATTTTAAAACATTTTTCAAAAAGGTATCTTATTTTTACACATTTGTTTTCTTATTTTGTAAATTACTGTTTTATTCTTATAGCACAGGATACACATGGAAGAAAAGTTGAGGAACCTTCAATTGTAAGATTAATTTAGTTGCTTTTACTTCATGATGAATGCTATGTCTGACATTTCTTACAAGAAGCTGCAATTTCATTTTCTACCTCACCGAGCTCCACATTTCTTTACTCTTAATGCCTTCCTTGGCACATAATTATTGTAATTCTTTACATCTTTTTTTTATAACCCAGATCGTGAATTGATGAAAATAAATTAATCAAAAACAAATTTAGAGAACCACAATGGGACTCTGCCTTTTCTCCTTGGTTAGACATTAATCTCCAAGAGAGGACTCATTTAAAGACAAGGTATTAGGGAAGTATATACAGCTGTGAGTAGTATCCTTTGTGGAATATTTATTAGTACTGTTATCAATAAGTTGCACAAACATGAGATGAAAATGGTACATTTGCCTAAGATGGTGGAAGAGGGACCAGTAACTGGTAATAGTGTACAGGCATTCTGTTTTAAGGATGAAGGGAAATTTTGACATAATGTATGACTGATTAATTTATTACACATATAATATACATATATACAAAAATATATATAATGATACATATATTATATATATATATATTTTTAAGACGGAGTCTCTTTTTGTCAACCAGGCTGAAGTATAGTGACGCAATCTCAGCCTATTGCAACCTCCGCCTCACGGGTTCAAGTGATTCTCCTGCCTCAGCCTTCCAAGTAGCTGGGATTACAGGCACCTGCCACCACTGCTGGCTAATTTTTTTTGTATTTTAGTAGACATGGGGTTTCACTAGGGGTGGGCCAGGATCTGGTCTCGAACTCAAGTGATTCACCTGCCTTGGCCTCCCAGTAAGTTATTATTTTAACTTAAAAAGAAAATGTTTATTATCCATTGCCACATCATCAGATGCTGAAGGCACAGGCATGGATTTCTTTCGTCCTAATACCATCTTTTTTTTAAAATGCTGCCAGAAGCTGTACTTTAGATTTGAGTATTATTGATTCTAGGGGATGTTGTTTTCTCTTTTTGCAGACATTCTTTCCTTTATCTGCTTTTGTCCTGTATCACAGCTAATGAATGAAATATGCATTATGAAGAGAAATTACCAAAAACCATGTTAGTCTGTCTACAACAATAACCGAAATATCTCACTAAATGAGTTTTTCCAGAAGATAAAGCTTTGATAAATATGTTGGCATAGAAGTCTAGATGATACAATTTTAAAGCAACAAGCAAGGCATAAATCTGACACCATCTTTCAAATGTTAGTAATGTAAATTGAATCAACAGATAAGATAGTTTGGGAAAGGTTCATTGCAGTTTATCTGTTGGGCCATAGGGTTTTGACAGAGATGGGTTAGAACATCAGGAGTCAGATTTTGAATGCAAAAGGCCCACCCCTAATCCAGCAACTTGGCAAATTAAAGTGCAACAGTGTATTACAAGAGTTGGAGAACAAACAAAGACCAGATGCCTTGACCTTTTCTTCTTAAAGACTTATAATGACAGCATTAAAAGCAATGGCAACTGCCACCACCACCACCACCACAAAACAACTAATTTTTATTGAATACGTATAGGCGCTCTCCTAAGTGTTGTCTGTTTGATCCTGTCAACAGTAACTATGAGGTAGATATTATTATCCCTGTTTCATAGATGAGAAAAGTGATATTTAGAGAAGGTCTGTTTCATTTGCCCCAAATCACATAGTTAGTAAGTAAGTAGCAGGACCGGAGCCTCGACCTAGCTTCTCTCACTGGGGACCCATGGCATCCCCTGTTGTGCTCTAGCTACTAAACAGAGAGCAGAGATGATACTTAAGCCCAGATGGGGAGCATGTGGTATTTCCTCCCATCCAGAGCCACTGTGAATCTGCACAGATCACAGTATCCTGAAGATCTCTTTCTTAATTGCCTCCTGAATTAATGCATTGCTATTCTTTGTAATGCTTTTTATTTTTCTTTTTTCTCTGAAATACTTCAGTCATACAGAAAAGCCCATAAAACAAAGAATAATATAACCTTCACCAATGTATCTACCTCCTAGCTTTATCATGCTTTCTTTTACCATATTTGCTTCTGATCTTTTTTAAAGAGCATTTTCACTTAGTATAATTTAAAGAAAAAAGCTTTTTGCCTATGAAATAAAAGTTCTAAACTTTGACTTTGCCATATGGGTATAATTTGAAATGCATTTTAAAAGGCTTCCTGAGCAAAGTCATGTTCTTTGGAATCAGTAGAGTTCAGGACCATAATTAAAGAATGTTCTTCTATTTACAGCTGTTTATTTTCAAGGTTCATCAGAGAATAATAAATAACTATTTTTATTTTCTAAAGTGATGGCATTTCGGATTTTTTACTAACCTTGATTTCCTATTTATGTTTTTTCCTGTCTTCTAGCACAAAAGCTGTGAGCCGGTTTCACTCTCCTTTTGTTGTAGAAAATTACAGACATCTGAATCAGCTCCGGGAGCAGCTAGTCCTTGACTGCAGTGCTGAATGGCTTGATTTTCTAGAGTGAGTTTACAGTGAAAAATATAATCTGACTTTTTGCTATGAGAAACAGACTGGAAAAATCTTCCCATCAAAAAGAAAATAGAGATTACAGCTTGTGACCCACCATAAAATAGTTGAGTACATGTGTTGTCTGATTTTATTTCTTTTTTTTTTCTTTTTCTTTTTTTCTTTTTTTTGAGACTGAGTCTTGCTCTGTCACCTGGGCTGGAGTGCCATGGCACGATCTCAGCTCACTGCATCCTCCACCTCTCAGGTTCAAGCAATTCTCCATGCCTCAGCCTCCTGAGTAGCTGGGATTACAGGCACCCACTGCTACACCCAGATAATTTTTGTATTTTTAGTAGAGACGTGGTTTCGCCATATTGGCCAGGCTGATGTTGTACTCCTGACCTCAAGTAATCCGCCTGCCTTGGCCTCCCAAAGTGCTAGGATTACAGGCTTGAGCCACTGCACCCAGCCCGAAAGAAATTCTTAAAAGCTACTGAAAGTTAAGATGACCACCTATATACCCTTCACCTAGGTTCATCACATGTTAGCATTTGCCACATTTGCTTTTTATCTCTCATGTATTTTTTTCCTGAAACATTTGGAAGTAAGTTTTAGACATCATAACACTTTCCCCTAAATACTTAAACCTGCATCTTTAAAAATAAGGACATTCTACTATGTAATCTTAACACTATTATTACATCTAAAAAAATTAACATTAATTTGTGAATATATTTGAATTTCTTGAATTTTTCCAATGTTGCCCTGTCTTTAGATTTTAAAATGAAAGACGTAATCAACTTTTACATGTTGCATTTGGTAATTATGCTTCTTTAGTCTATTTGAACCTAGAATTTCCTGCCATTTTTTGTGGTTTTTTTTACCATGGTATTTTTTGAAGACTCCTTGCCATTGTCTCAAAGAATGCCTCACATTCTGGATTTATTGATAGTCATATATTTATATTGTCAGTTTTAAGTCATGGTGTGCTGGCAAATGGTTAATAGCCAGCTCTTTGGAAGGGCAGTCACGTTTGTAGAGTTTGCTGGTTTCTGAAGTGTAAACTCTCCCACCAGGGCTGATGTGAAACTACCACTGGACTGGAGTTGGGAAGAGATGTGCACAGTTGATTTTCATGAGTCCATAGGAGCCAGCTCTAGGCCACCACTGGTCTGAGTACTTTATATGTAAACTCATTATTTTTCATGTGACCCTTGTAAGGCTAAGTATCATAACCGACTTACAAATGAATAAAGTGAGATTCAGAAATAAGAAGTTAATCTTCTAAGGGTAAGGGTTGGAGCCCAGATTCAGCCCTAGCTATCTGGCAGCCAGGTATGTGGCCTTTGCCAGCCTGCCCATGGTGAGCCCGCAGGCATCAGTCTAAATACATCTCTGTTAGTCTCTTACTTTAAAACTGTAAACAGGCCAGGCGCGGTGGCTCACACCTGTAATCCCAGCACTTTGGGAGGCCGAGGTGGGCAGATCACTTGAGGCCAAGAATTCAAGACCAGCCTGGCCAACATGGTGAAACCCTGTCTCTACTAAAAATACAAAAATTAGCCGGGTGTGGTGGCATGTACCTGTAATCCCACCTAACTCAGTAAGCTAAGGCAAGAGAATCACTGAACTGGGGAGGCAGAGGTTGCAGTGAGCCGCAATTGTGCCTCTGTACTCCAGCCTGGGCAACAGAGCATGACTCTGTCTCAAATAAATAAATACAACCTTAAACACTAAAAATTCAGTGATATCCTTCAGGGAGCTTTATTGTATTTCAAGTAATCAACCTGAAATGAAATGAAAAAAACAAAAAACAAAAAGGATATGTGAGAATTTTTACAAGGAAGTAAGTTGGTACCAATCTTTTTGCCCTGAGGAGTCTTGAATTATAAGACCAGGAAGAGATTCCAATTTACTTAAATCTTTTGAGACTATCTTGACTCAGAATCTTGAATGTAGGGATGGAAATTTTGTCTATTCAGTTTCTTTTCTATTTCACTTTCAATTTTCTATTTTAAGGGTTTTCAGAGCCTTTGAGTCTTTCAGTTCTCCTGGCTTTTTCCTTAGTATTACCACTGAGAATGTGAAAACTGAACTAAAATTACACCTTTCAGTCTTCAAGGACTCACATTCTAGAAGGGTCCTGGGATTTGGTGAGGTAATTTCCTGTTCACTCTATTCAGACCATACATAATTTCATAGATCTGGCTTCTATTCTCTGTCATTATTCCAGACTAAAGAAAGTTCAGTACTCCCAGGCTAATCATCTTGGTGTTATTCTTGATTCTTTCTTCTTTTTGGTCCCTTTATCTGTTATCAAGTTCTTTTTTTTTTTTTTTTTGGTCTCACTCTGCCACCCAGGCTGGAGTGCAGTGGTACAATCATGACTAATTGCAACCTCTACCTCCCCAGCTCAGGCAGTCCTCCCACCTCAGCCCCCTAGTAGCTGGGACCACAGGCATGCACCGCCACACCTGGCTAATTTTTAAGTGTTTTTGTAGAGACAGGGTTTCGCTATGTTCCCCAGCCTAATCTTGAACTCCTGGGCTCAAGTGATTCGCCTGCCTCAGCCTCCCAAAGTGCTGAGATTATAGGTGCCAGCCACCATGCCCAACCTGTTATCAAATTTGTGATTGTCTTTTTCCACCTTTGAGATGTTTCTTTGATTTGTCCCTTTTTATGTTGTCTTCTAATAGCCCATTATTACCTCAAACCATTATTACTGTATCAGCCTTCTGACTTGGCCTTCTACTAGGTTGACCCAGGAGTTTTTATTATATTATCCCTAGGCTATAATTGAGATTGCAAAGAGTGAGCTAACAGTAAATATAACGTCACAGAAGCATATGATACTTTAATTACTAAGTGAAGAAAATGATGTAAAAAAGTAAAAGTATGATACAATTTTATATGTGTATATTCACATAATGCACAGCATACAGACTTCTATATTTTAAAGATTATATATGCTTATTGTATTACTAATATGCTTATTGGCCATGTGTATATCTTTGGAGAAATATCTATTCCTATGTACATGTGAACATATATGTGTATGTGTATATATATAGACTCAAAACATTTACTGTTTATTTCTGGATGGTGAGGTTACTGGTGATTTTAATTTCTTTCCTTTGCAAATGCAGTTGGCTCTTGATATCTGTGAGTTCTGCATCCATGGATTTAACCAACTGCAGATTGAAAATATTCGAGGAATGAAAAGGATGGTAGCATCTATACTGAACATATACAGGCTTTTTTTCCCGCTTGTCATTATTTCTGAAACAGTACAATATAACTGCTATTTATTTATAGCATTTACATTGTATTATGTATTGTGAGTAATCTAGAGATGATTTAAAGCCTATGGGAGGATGTACATAGGTTATATACAACTACTTTGCCATTTTATGTAAGGGATTTGAGCATATTGGATTTTAGCATCTGCAGGGCATCCTAGAACCAATCTCCTATGGATACCGAGGGATGACTGAGCACGATTTCAGAAGTACCTATAATGTACATATATTACTTTCAGAATAAGAAAAATGCATTAAAGTTTTTATCCAAAAAAAGAATATTGGCTGAAATTTAGCTAGAGCATTTTGCAGCTAGAGCCCCCACTTGAGAGCAGCATTGATTGTTATGTACACTATTTATTGAGGTGCCAGATGGTGTGACTGTGATATCATTAAAAAAGTGATTAACCTCAATGAACCTGACATCAGAGGACTGAATACCAGCATTACAAATGTATTTGTCACTTACTGAGGTACTAACTGTTGTGTATTAGTCATATTACTTTTGATCAAAATGTTGCCAGAAATTAAGGCTGTAGACACTGCTGTGGAGTAAATCCTCCCTTGAAACATGTCTCTCTTTTATTTTTTGTTCTAGAAGATGCACTGTGTATATTCAGTAATCTTCTCAATTGCAAATTATTTAAAAGTTGAATTATAATATATAATAAAAAATTGTAGAAATTCATTTGCAAATAAAATATTTTCAATTTTTATTAACTTCAGATATCATTGAGCAACACTTGATGGTAAACTTCTGTAGTCATCATAACACCATAACAGCTTTAGAACCCAAGTGTCTTCATCTGCTTCTTATGAACTCAGCAATATCTTTTGGCCAGAGGTTAAATCATAGTGCCTTGACTTCATCCTTAAGTTGGTTGGTAGCATAGTGATAAAATTGCTTCTTGTTATGCTGTAAACGCAGTCTATCAGATTGTTATCTGCATTGACCATTTTTCAGCTTACCATTTTTCTAAGTATGGATAATCTCCCTGAAGTTTGGCAAAGTATATCAAATGGACAAAGACCAAGAAGTCAAGGCTTCTTTAAGAGTTATGATGATGTTATAGGTTTTTGATAGTTTTTCATTGTATTCATGTCTTATTTATACCATTGACATCAGAAGGAACATTGTTGTTCATATCAAAATAATTACTTTATCCCTCCCTGCTTTTTTTGTTGTTGTAACTGAAATGGGACCCACTAAGAGCAGTGTTAACTCATTTCCATCTTAAACATTAGATCATCAGAGACAGCTACCCTCAAGTCAAGCTGCTGAGTAGTAGCAAACTAGGGTCTTGAGGACCTGGGCAGGATCTGAGAAGGAGGGAAAGAGTGAGGAAAAAAACTGACCATTTGTTACTGCTAAAGCTTTGATGCTCATGTCCCAAGAGGCAAGGGCAGAAACAGCAAATGTGGCTGCTTTCTGGCAAAAGAGAGGGTGCCTAGATAGGAGGACCAGATGGGTCAGTAATTAGAACAAGGACAGCATACGCCACAGTGCAAGAAGGCAGTGAGTGGTCAGATCTAAAGTCAGAGCCATGGCCAGGTGCAGTGGCTCATGCCTGTAATCCCAGCACTTTGGGAGGCTGAGACAGGTGGACTGCTTGAGGCCAGGAGTTCGAGACTAGCCTGGCCAACATGGGGAAACCCCGTCTCTACTAAAAGTACAAAAATTCGCTGGGCGTGGTGGTGCACGCCTATAATCCCAGCTACTCTGGAGGCTGAGGCAGGAGAATCACTGGAATCTGGGAGGTGGAGGTTACAGTGAGCTGAGATTGTGCCACTACACCTCAGCCTGGGTGAAAGAGCGAGACTGCTACGTCTCAAAAAAAAAAAAAAAAAAAAAAGGAAAAAAGGAAAGAAAACATAAAGTCGAAGCCAGAGCAGGAATAACAAGGCAAAGTCAGTGAGCAGCCACTCCGGGTTTAGGGTGACTCTTAACTCTAAACACCCAGGACAGTTAGGCCAGTGCAACATGTGGCATCTTCAAAACTAGGGAGCATTTTATTTTATTTTATTATTTTAAAAATTATTTTTAAATGTTTGTGGGTATATAGTAGGTGTATATATTTATGGGGTACATGAGATATTTTGATACAGGCGTGCAATGTGGAATAAGCATATCACAGAGAATGGGGTATCCATCCCCTCAAGCAGTTATCCTTAGAGTTACAAACAATCCAATTACACTCCTTAAGCCATTCCAAAATATACAATTAAGTTATTGACTATAGTCATCCTATTGTGCTATCAAATAGTAGGTCTTATTCATTCTTTCTATTTTTTTTGGATCCCTTGGCCATCCCCACTTCCCTCCACATTTTAAAGTGGTGACTGAGGGCTACCTGTCTGATGCCAGGGGCCTGTCCCTTTTGTGTTTGGAGTTTTGCACAGATTCTAACACGGTGGGAATCGTATTATTTGTTTTGATGAACTTTAATTCAGTGAGAAATAGGTAAGTTGTATTCATTATGTTCTGTCTACTCAGCAAATAAGTATATAGTACACTGTGAATATATTTTTCAGTTCACAAAAAAACACAGAAATAAAGCTGGATAATTAAAATGTTGTTCCTAGTATCTGGAAAAAGTCATTTATGTACAATACCTTATTCTAATACTAGAAAAATCAGAAGTTACAGTTTTAAAAAGTCATAATGATTATATAGGAATAGTCCATCACTCTAATAGTGTAATCTGGATATCTTTTTCAAGCTAGGAAGCACTCTAGAAACCTTTGGATTTCAGTACTAAATAGACTGTCTCAACATTTCTGAAACTCACACTACAATAGACAAATGTTTTTTAAGAGAGGCATTTATTGTTCATTTGTCGTCTTTTTTCTCATTTTTGGATCATCTTTAAAAGGTCATACAGAATATCTGAGCTACACTATTTTTTAAATGTAGAAACTAGGCACCTTATTTCTATTTTATTTCTATGGATGCACAAAAATAAGATGCTAGTAGGAGTCTGTAAAACTGCATTGTGAGGTAGGGTGATAGGAGGAGCTCAGTTTGAGTCTAGGCTCAATTGCTTTAGGCTAACTGCTTTTTCTCTCTGAACTTCTTTTGTAAAACTTAGGTAATGACCTATCTTTATGGTTGTTGTAAAGAAAAAAATGTAGTGGCTTCTTCATAGTCTTTGATTTGTAAATGTTTGTTTTCCTTTCAGCTTTCCTTTTGGACCTATTTACAGTTAGTTAATTACATTTTCTCATTTTCCAATCTTTGAAGAATTTGTGACTTATCACCACCTACTTAAAGTTTTTTTTTAATCAAACAATCTCTTAATCTCTCTTGGAGGCAGAGTAGTTACTATAACGATTTAAGCTCAGCTATATGCTTCCTGTTACTTAAAAAGATACTTTATACTGGTCATTCTTAAAAATTAAGTTTTGGGTCATTTTTGTAGTTTAATTATGTATACTTCACACATCCACAATTGATCACTACATACAGATGTCCACAATTTATACGACACTACACACATTGACATAAAATACTATGATATGAGATAATGGGATAATTTAAGAAAAAAGAAAAAAGTATTCATGTGTGTTTTCCAAATAAGTTTTTCAATAAAAGCCATTTAGGCTTTTACATCAATAGGTATTATAGTTTTAAGTAGCCAAAGACTTGAGGCAATGACCATAATCTTTTAAAAAACAAATCTAAAATTTAGTTTTTATATGCATTAATAAGATAACTGAAGATAAGTGAGAAAAGTACCTTTTCCCCTTGTCTTCAATAAATATTTATTACAGTGTTTATTTTATGCCAATATTATAAACTAGATGTTATGTCTACAATGGGGTTAATCAGATGGACAATCTGCTCTCAAGAAGCTTCCAGTTTAGTGTGAGAGAAAGGTATTGAAACTGTTATTCCAGGTTTGGAGGATGCTGTGAAGAAGCACAGGCGAAGCTGATGTACATGAATATTTCATGATGTTATTGAAGCGTAATGAAAATGACTGCTATATTTGTGTTATACCTTAAGTTCAAATGTCAGGGTCAGATGAAATCTGTGATGTGTTCTTAACAGTTGATATCTTTACGTAGAAGCTGTTTTACATTTATATACAAAACAAAAAGAAGCCTCAATAATTTAATTATTGTATTAAAAAGTAAAGCCGTTCAGTGTAATCTCCATCTCTCTTAACTGTTAGGAATGCCTGCTAATCATCTGTACGCTTACACTAGCTGATAAAGTGATTGCTTGTTGTAGAGCTATTATAGGTCTAAGAAATCAGTTTGCTCACCTTTTCGTTGTTGCTGCTGCTTCTGTAGGAAATTCAGTGAACATTATCACTACTTGTGTAAAGCAGTGCATCACCTAGCAACTGTTGACTGCATTTTCTCCCTGGCCAAGGTCGCTAAGCAAGGAGATTACTGCAGGTAATATATTTTTCATTTTCCCCTCTATCAGTGCCTTAGATAAGATGACATTATTCAATTAATTATAGTATCTTTATTATAAAATATTACAATTACTCAAATGTGTTAGACTCTTGGGAAAGCTGAATGTCATACATATATAGCTTGATTTGAAAACTAAATTCATTTCTTGCTTGCTCTGTCACTGAGTACAATGAAAGCAGATGTTAAAGTTTATGTGGGTGACTTTTTAATAAAGTTTCAGCACTCTTTTCATTTGTTATACCTTAAGTTCAAATGTCAGGGTCAGATGAAATCTGTGATATGTTCTTAACAGTTGATATCTTTACGTAGAAGCTGTTTTACATTTATATACAAAACAAAAAGAAGCCTCAATAATTTAATTATTGTATTAAAAAGTAAAGCCGTTCAGTGTAATCTCCATCTCTCTTAACTGTTAGGAATGCCTGCTAATCATCTGTACGCTTACACTAGCTGATAAAGTGATTGCTTGTTGTAGAGCTATTATAGGTCTAAGAAATCAGTTTGCTCACCTTTTCGTTGTTGCTGCTGCTTGAACACTTATAATTATAAAAGTTTGATTAGGCAAGAAAAGACTGAGAAGAATAGGGACTGGGGGGCGTTTCAGTGATCTGTTCCTTTTGTTAAGAGCCCATATTCATCCCACTATTCTTTATTGACCTCTAAGCATCCCAACATGGAATATTTATTCTCTTTTTCATAAAGGATGTTAGCACAAACAAATCTAACTTTAAAATTCAGATGGCCGGGCATGGTGGCTCACGCCTGTAATCCCAGCACTTTGGGAGGCCAAGGCAGACGAGATCAGAAGATCAAGACCATCCTGGCTAACACGATGAAACCCCATCTCTACTAAAAATATTAAAAATTAGCCGGGCGTGGTGTCACGTGCCTATAATCCCAGCTACTCGGGAAGCTGAGGTGGGAGAATTGCTTGAACCCAAGAGGTAGAGGTTGCAGTGAGCCAAGACCATGCCACTGCACTCCAGTCTGGGCGACAGAGTGAGACTCTGTCTCAAAAAAAAAATTCAGACAAAACTTTCATACAAGTTGTATGTCTTCCAAAAGCTTGAGTTTATATATACTTAAGAAAAAATAAGGCTGGGCATGGTGGCTCATGTCTGTAATCCCAGCATTTTGGGAGGCTGAGGCAGGAACGTCTCTTGAAACTGGGCATTTGAGACCAACCTGGGCAACATATTGAGACCCCATCACTACAAAAATTAAAAAATTAGCTGGGCATGGTGGTGCACACCTGTAGTTCCAGCTGCTTGGGAGGCTGAGGATTGCTTTAGCTCAGAAGTTTAAGGCTACAGTGAGCCATGATAGTGCCCATGCACTCCAGCCTGAGTGACAGAGCGAGACCTTGTCTCAAAAAAAAAAAAAAAAAAAAAAGGGTACAGTTTAAAAAATATAAAATTAAATAAAGTTGTTCAAGTTCAAATGTTTTATTCTTTCCAGGAAGCATCTAGATTCTTTCCTTCACTGCCATAGATGTCATCAGTATGCTTTCCCCCGTCTTTCTTGCTATGCCTGTTCTATCCTACTGTATCCTCCTAGCTCTGTGAGTTATCCTTTGTGTCCTGTTCTACCAGGAAACATTTTGTCATTGTATAATTTTGATAGCAACAGAATAAGTCGATGTAAATTTTAGTGCTGAATAAATCACTTAAAATTTTGTTCCAAAGTGAAAATCTTCCTGGTAAATCATATCAGTGTCATGATTATTACATAATGATTTAACTTGGTAGAGCACCTAGGATTTTATTTTGAAGTTAATGTCACAAATACTTTTATTTTTTCTTTTACAATGAATTTGTAACCCACCTAGATAAAAAATCTTGTCTTCAGAATTACACTCTAAAATCCAAAAACTATCCTTTTTTCATAACTTTAAGTGTCTTTCTCCAACAGATGATTTCAGATTATTTACTCAGAAGATACTGTAGTCACTTTTTTTTTTTTTCTTGAGACAGAGTCTCACTCTGTGGCCCAGGCTGGAGTACAGTGGTGCAATCTCGGCTCACTGCAAACTCTGCCTCCCAAGTTCAACGAATTCTCCAGCCTCAGTCCCCTGAGTAGCTGAGATTACAGGCGTGTGCCACCACGCCTGGCTAATTTTTGTATTTTTGGTAGAGATGGGGTTTTACCATGTTGGCCAGGCTGGTCTCGAACTCCTGGCCTCAAGCAATCCACCTGCCTTGGCCTCCCAGAGTGCTGGAATTATAGGCGTGAGCCACAGCGCCTGACCTGTAGTCACTTTCTTTGTAAAATGTGAGAGCATCTGGGATTTTATTAGCCAGATATATTTAAGAAGAATAATTTAGGAAAGTCGTATTTATTGGTGTTATGAGTAAGTTCAGAAATGTGGTTACACTTGAAAGTTCTGAGTCAAAGAACTACAGGAGGTCGATGGTAGGATATTATGCTTTTGAAAAAGACCAACGAATGACCAAGAAACTGATGAAAAGATGTTCAGTCTTAGTAATCAGTGAGTGCAAATTAAAACAATGGGATAACGCTGTTTATTTTGTTGACAAACATTAAAAAGTTTAATCAACTTTAGGTGAGGGTATGAGAAAACAAGTTAACTTTCATATCCTGCTTGTAGGTAGGTAGATTGGTATATATACTGTTAACTATTAAAATAAAAAATATGCATACCCTATGACTTAGGAATCCCACTTTAAAAATTTACTCTAGCTTTGGGAAACACTTGGACGTGAACACGTGGAGATGTGTATAGGATTGTTCATTGCATCATCATTTATAAGGAAGAATTTGGATGCAGTCTAAATGTTTAACAGTGGAAAATGTGTAGCAGCTTTGAAAGAATGCTGAATATCTGACAAGAAGTGATCTTCAGTATACTCTACCATAAGGGTCTATTGAACCTAACTTCAGTTTCTTAAAGGCCATTTAAAGAACAAAGTTTACTTTTTTCCCTTTAAAAAGGAGAGTAAAACTTACTCTGTCTTACACTTACCATGTGGGTTTATTGGATTCTTTTATAAATGTAAGATGCATTTTGGGATCTTTAGTGATCTTATTTTTTCTATATCTTGGAACATTTCGTTATTTCATCATCCTGAGAATTGTTTTAACATTGTTTATCATTTGTTTCAACTATACTATAAAAGTATACAATGGGCTGGGTGCGGTGGCTAATGCCTGTAATCCCAGCAGTTTGGGAGGCCAAGGCGGGCAGATCACAAGGTGAGGAGATTGAGACCATCCTGGCTAACACAGTGAAACCCTGTCTCTACTAAAAATAAAAAAAAATTAGCCAAGTGTGGTGCGGGCGCCTGTAGTCCCAGCTACTTGGGAGGCTGAGGCAGGAGAATGGCATGAACCCGGGAGGTGGAGCTTGCAGTGAGCTGAGATCACACCACTGCACTCCAGCCTGCAGCCTGGGCGACAGAGCGAAACTCTGTTTCAAAAAAAAAAAAAAAAAAAAAAAAAAAGTCTAAAATGGAAAGAAAATGGGAGAATGATGATGCAGAAGTGAGGAGAGAAATCACTATCACATCATCCGTTTTCTTGTTTTATTGCCCGTGTTACATCATCTTCCAAGAAGGTATAAAAGAAGAGTGCAGATGCCACAGTTGGAGTCTGCTTCTAACTTTCATTGAACACAGTTGAAAATTCAGAATTTTTCGTTGTTCACCCATAAAGGCAAAGAGAAAAAAATTGACAGAAGGCCTTTCATAATTACTGGGTTCATCAGATGATGAATGTGAAGAGAAAGAAACCAGTGCCCTGGATATTCATGGTGATGGTGAAATTTCATGTATCAGCAAAATCTGAGATTCTGAATGCTCAGACAATATCCTAGGTGAATTTTCTCAAACTCAAGGGTTGGTGTGTGAAGAATGTATTTGTAAGGGCAAAATGAACTCTGTTATTCTCGTCCAGTTAATCATTCAGTAGGAAACATTCATCATGTAATATTTGGTGACAAGAACCTGGACTATCCTGTTTTGCTGAAAGACGTGATAGTATTCTTCTATCTTTTATAATATTTATTCATTAAAATTTACTTGATACAATTTATAAGTTATAATTTGTAGACAGACAGAAGATTGAAAGGATATAGATGATGTAGAAATAAAGGTACTCATTTGATTATTCTAATTGGTGTTGATAAGTCAAAAAATGAAAATATTTTGCAATTATGGAGCAAAAATGACATCTCTTTAAGAAAATTATAAGCTTTAAAATATTTCGAAAACTTCAAGTATTTGTATTTTTGTTGATACAAATGTGAAAAGAATCAGAAATAATCAACTCTAGAACCTATTAGAAATGTATTGAAATTTGGAATTTAGTATTTATGAATGAATATGTTCCAGATGCACGCTTGACAGCTGATGGGCAATGACCTTCAGAATGTGTTACCCACTTCAGATATATATGCCTTGAAAACCAGGAGAATATGGAATAAAACTTTGAGATTTACTGTGTTTAAATTCTTATTAAAATCTGTCATGAGGTTGATTTTTTTTTTTTTTTTACTATCCCCTTATTTCTGTAAAATTATTTGTGAAATGACTTTAAAGGAATATATTATATCCAGATAGTAAATGGTGAAATCTTTTTTTTATGTATGTACTGAGAGTTAAAATAAACTATTGAATTTTTTAAATTACAGAATGATATATTACAGTATGACTTTTCTAAAGAAATCACAACCAGTATGATGCATACATAAACATAAATGCACAGAAGAAGGTTGGAAAAGGTAGACAGCAAGCTGGTGTCAGTAGTAACATCTGGGAAGGAGAGCTGAGAGTAAGGCAGGGCTCAGAGGGTCTTGACTATACAGCTAAGGCTGTAGATAAAACAGATATAGAGGTCTTTAAAAAACTTAAAGAACAACAAGGCCAAAATATGATTCTTGTATCCAAGTAAAAGATACAAAAGACCATAGAAAGATGTTTTAATGAAACAACGTATGAAAATTTTAGGTCATTTCGTTTCCAAGTCCAACACATAGTTTAATAATTACATCTAGAAATAATTTTATGTGATTTGCTTTATTATATTCATTAATAAAAATAAGTAGCAATAATCTGAACTGTTATCTTTACTAGTGAAAATATTGGTTTGATCTCAAACAATAATAGAAAAATGAAAAATAAAGCCCAGCATGGTGACATGCACCTATAGTCCCAGCCTCCTGAAGAGGCTGAGGCAAGAGGATCACTTGAGCCCAGGAGCTTGAGGCTGTAGTGTGCTATAATTGTGTCTGTGAATAGTCACTGCACTCCAGCCTGGGCAGCACAGTGAGACCCTGTCTCTTAAAAAAAAAAAAAAAAAAAGATCTCGTAAAGGTAAACTACAAGGGTGAAGCCATTTATAAGACTCTTCTAAAGTATGTGCTTCATTGCACAATTATTATAATAAATATTTTCCCAATTTTTATTTTATAGTTCAAATTTAACTTTTATACTCAAGGTTTTATTCTGGACATATGTTCTTAAAATCTATGTTTAAAGTTTTGTTTTCTGTCGTACAAACAGTACTGAAATTTTTCATGCTGTCTTAGTTTTTTTTTTTTTTTTTTTTAAGGCTATTTCCATGCTTAGTAAATTGAAACATACTTCTTTTTGCAGACCAACTGTACAAGAAGAAAGAAAAATCATAATAAAAAGTGGAAGGCATCCTGTGATTGATGTGTTGCTGGGAGAACAGGATCAATATGTTCCCAATAGTACAGATTTATCAGTAAGTACCATATAATACAAAACAATAAGTCAACATAACATCCCAAACTTTTAAATACGAAAGAAACATTTTTATAATTAAAAGTTACCCAAATTTCAACTTTGGCTTTAAATGGGCTAAGTCTGGACATAGTTTTATATTTACCATGAAATGTGGAATTGGTGCTATTTCCAATGAAAGATTATCAATAGGTTTAGTAACTAAAAGTTTAGTTCTAATTAGTTATCCTAGGTAACCCAATAAAAATATTTTACATTTGTAAATACCCAATATGCAAATAGAGTTGGAATAATACCATAGTTTTTGCAAATTCATATTAGCATGTAGTGTTCCATCCTTTGTACTGTGACTATTTTCAGATGTTCCGTGAAAGAATCAGAGATGACTTTGCAGATTCCAGTGATGAGAATTTTCATTATATGTATTTCTCTTACATAACACGAATGATCCTGAATACTTAATTTATTTAACACATACTTACTGAGTGCCTGTGTCTCAGGTAATGAAGCGAGTGTTAGGAACAGAGAGTGGTAAGCAAGACAGAAGTCTTCCCTGCCCTCACAGAGCTTGTTGTATAGCACAGAAGACAGGCTAGTGCAATACAGCTTAGTGCATGGCATGTTGGAAGAGACCAGGATGGCCTGGGGACAGGTAGCAAGTTGACCTAACCCAAGGGCAGGGAAGCATTGAGGAATGTTCCCCAGGGATGAGATACCAACTGAAGAATGAGTCAGTGCAAGCCATGGTATTGTTAGGGGAGTATTCCAGGTAGAAGAACCAGCATGGCAGTTGTTGGAAGTGAAGCATAGCAGGATGAATTCAAGGAACTGAAAGACGATGAGTGAGGTTGGAGTGCAGAGTGTAAAGAAAGAAGTGTTCAGAGATAAGGAAGAGGCCAGTTTACTTATATGAAGAAATTTACATTTTTCCCCCTAAAAGATTAAGAATACTAGCAAGAGAGTGATAGAAGCTGGGGAAAAATAGTGAAGTGGTGGCAGGGTGTGTGAGTTCCATTGTCAAAGCTAAATGGAGCTGGGCACTGAAGTGGTAAGGATTGATCTTATTCAATAATACTCCTGCAGTAGGGAAGAGTCCGGTGTGAATTGAACTTGACTTCATTTTGGCATAGATGACTGGGTGTTTTAAAGGGAGTATGAGGGAACAGGGAAAGGGAATGAGCTGGGGGAGGAGAGCGAGTGAGGTGTGGTTATGTGAAACCCATGTGGGTTTACTAATTGTTTGCTAATACCACATTTCAAAGAGTCAGCTCTCTGGTCCTTAAAAAGACAATTTTGGGTGATAGATTTACATCCCAAAGGGGCAGAAAAAGTCTTTCTAATTGCAAGCTTTCTAAGGTAACTGTTCTAAGAAGGGCTTCAGCATCTGGCTGCCTGTCACCAAATTTTGACTGGAATGGTGAATCCTGGCAGCACCAAGCTTTCTCAGGCAGGTACTTTTAGTGGGGCTGGGGTCATCCTAAGGATGCAGCCTTGAGCTGTTAGAAACTATGCTAGTGGGCTTGCTTCTAAGTAGGGAGGGTGGACAAAATCATTTTTACTCAAAGTCTGTAGGTTTTTATAGGTCAAAGTTGAGAACTAGTCCAGAATAGGGCTCAGAGAAACCTGATGAGAATTTGGTCAAGGACATGGGGTAAAATGGAATGGTGATGGGTCAAAAAATTAGTATGTAGGGAGTAGTTATGTGAGAGAGGAGGTATCAAAGAATAAAATGCCTGACTTTCGGATATCAGATGTGGTGGTCTTCTGGGTGATGGCAAGATCCTGTGTATGGCTATAGAAGGTGGGTAGCAGAAGGGAGAAGGTCTTTGGAGATGAAGAGATCAAGGAACAGAGTTTGAGAAAAAGTTGTCCATGTGAATGTTGAAATCTAAGATAACAGCAAGATTAGCCGTAGAGGACAACAAGGATCCAAGTGTCCGAGATTGCAAGGAATGGTAATTGGGAGTTGTGAAGTTTATAGATGGCTTAGATTGAAGACAGACAGTGGTAAAGCCCTAAGGAAGCAAAGAAGAACTTCTGAACCCTGAACCCCGAGGTATATGGTCCATGGTTGGATGTGGCAGAAAAATGTCAGCCCCCAAATGAGGGAGCTGCAGGGGAATAACAAACAGCCAGCCAGGTTTCATTTTAGTGTATGAAGGAAATGTTAAGCAAGGTGGTTAGAAACAGAAGTACTAAGGAACTTTTCTGAGGACAGTGAAAAATTGAGATGTAGGGGAGCATTTGGAATGTAGGTCAGAGAAAGCTCAGAATAGTAGTGAGCTGGGACTGTAACAGAGTATTCTACCTCGGGCTGTGAGCAAGGGTGGCAGAGATGTGTGGCATTGTGCATTTGGCTGGCCATGAGAGGGAGATGTGAAAGGAAATACTTTGAATGACATCTAGTTTAATATTGCATTTTCATATCGTAACAAGACTTGTTGGTAGTATATAATGCATGTCTTAGTCTGTTCAGCTGCTGTAACAAAATATCATAGACTGAGTAGCTCATAAATAACAGAAATTTATTTCTCAGAGTTCTAGAGACTGGAAAGTCCAAGATCAAGGTACCAGCAGATCAGTTTCTGGTGAGGGCCTGTTTCCTGGTTCCTAGATGGCATCTCACATGGTGGAATGGGTAAAGGGTCTCTTACCCATGTACTCACACAGTGGAAGGGGTAAGGGGTCTCAGGCCCTCATGAACTTATCATCTCCTGAAGGCCCCATCTTCTAATACCATTGCCTTGTGGGTTAGGATTTCAACATACGAATTTGGGAGAGACACAAATATTCATACCATAGCAACCTAAGACCCAGTGTCTATAAACCTGTTCATTCATATTAGGAAATTTTTATATTTATTAATCAAACAAGTTAATAAGTACCAATCTTTTTACTGTCTTTAAAAAAAAGACTATGTCTTTGGGAGGCCTAGGCGGGAGGATCAGTTGAGCTCAGGAGGTCGAGACCAGCCTGGCCAACATGGCGAAACCCTGTCTCTACTAAACATATAAAAATTAGCTGGGCATGGTGGTGCCTCCCTGTGATTCCAGCTACTCGGGAGGCCGAGGCAGGAGAATTGCTTGAACCTGAGAGGCCACTGCACTCTAGCCTGAGCAACAGAGCGAGACTCTGTCTCCAAAAAAAAAGAGACTATGTCAACATAAGAATTTTTTTTCAGTTCTCATAATACCAGTAGGATATAGCTTTTCTTGAGAAAGTAATGTAAGTTAAATATAAACTAAGCAACTAAATATTAGGACTATAAGTCTCTTAAAATAATTTCCTGTTACTGTTTCCATGCCCATCTACTTGACCCCAAGAATATTACCCCAAGAAATTGACTTCTTTCTTTCTTTCCTTTTTCATTCTTTTCTTTTAAAAAGTAAGTTACACTTTAATAAAACAAGATTTGAAGAACTAAAATAGCCTTCTGTCTAATTACAATAATGTTTTAAAGAACATTGAACTCTTATATTTAAATCTTTACAAAATAAATGGAGTAATTTTTTTTTCCAAGCAGGCATCTCAGAATATTCCAGAATATTTGCTTCTATTACATATGCTTTTTCTAACTTGAGTAGGAGTTGATATAGAACTGTTGCTATGGTGAAGTGCATTCTATTTTTCAGGGTAAAAATTTATATATAGGGATAGTGTTGAGAAAGAACTTACGTAAAATTCAATTTAAAATATTTTATGAATGTTAATTATAAAATATACCCTGAAAATAATTTCAAAGTTAAATGACATTGTTGTTTTTGATAATCATGGGGTTTTCAGAACTGGTGTTTTGTAAATGTAATTAAGAGTATACTTTTCTGTATTCTGTATTACGTGAACTTATTATAGTGCTTCTGAATAAGCCAACTTTCTGCCCGCTTTTCCTCTCCCAGTTTTAAGAATACTTTTTAAAACCCTCTTTTTTTTTTTCCTCTTCCTTGATTCACTGTATAATCCAAGCATTTATACATGTGGTCACCACTGGAGCATCCTCCTCCACTCTGCCCACCTCCATAGATTCTCTACTCTGCAGCCACAAGGCTTCTGGAACCTGCCATGCCACTCTCCCTTTTGAATTCATGCTTCACACTCCAGCCAGATTGGAGTTCATGCCGTTCCCAAGTCACTGTGCCTCTGGAACTTGGCAGATGGTGTTCCCTCTGCCTAGAATGTCATCTTTCCCCACCCCAACCACTCCCGCCTCACACACTCCCACATCCACCCACCAATCACCCACCCCACTCCCCAGCTCTGGCTTGTTCAAGTCTTGCCTTGGATGTCAGCTCTTGCGTTCAGCCTTCCTTTGCCCAGCTGGGATGGGTAGCCCTCTCACATACCCTTGCCACTCTGTTTCTCCACATCTCAGTACTTATTCCACCAAATTATAATCATTCTTTTTTTTATCTGCCTTTCCCAGTGGACTGTAAGCATGAAGCAAACAGGGACTGTACTCTGTCAACTATGTGTAATCCCTGGATCAGTCACAGTTCTCTGGCACATAGCTGGCACCTAATCAGATTGATTAAATCAGTAAGGATTAGCTAGAAGCCTTTAGCAGTCTCCAAGTCTCACTTGAAATTTTTGCCTTTTATTTTCTACACAAAATGTTATTTTTCAGGATATTATATGGGGATTTCCCCAATTTACGGAATAATTTTACTGTCAAACTAAAAGGGAAATTTGGAATCTTTTAGTGTAACCACCTTTTCATACTTCTGAGTAAACTATGGTTCAGAAAGGGGAAATGATCTGCCAGAAGTTACTCAGGTTGCATCGTCTTGAACTGTTTCCCAAAACATAAACACATTTTTAGGCAAGCCAGTGATTTCCAACCTTTTTCACTTTGCATCATACAGAAAATGATAATATTTTAATGGAACACCGGGTTAAAAGGAGAAGGAAGAGGTTGCTCGGACGCCAAGGAGGCTGGCCCAGGGACTGTGGCTGCCCCAGCCCCACCCGCCACCTGTGGGTTAAGGGGTCAGTGTCTTGGCCCCT